GCCTGGCCCAGCCCCAGGGACTTAATGGGTATTCAAGGAGTGAACCAGCAATGGAAGCTAGCTCTTTCTCTTTTTCTCTGCCTCTCAAATATTTTTAATGAAATATTTTTCTCTTGAAAATCAGGGCACTTTCAGTACAGTTGCCTACATTTTCTCTTACTATAGTCCTTGGGTCTCTGATGTTCATATGCCTTAGAAGAAGCTCGTTTTGGACAAAACTCAGAATATTCAAGATCCTGATTTAGCAAAAAAGAAAGTAATTAGGTATGTCCTAATTACTTTTTACTAATTACTCCCAAATGAAATTTGGGAGTCATTTGTTACTGCAGCAAAAACTTCGTCTGTACTTTATTTGGGATGTATGCAATAGCATTTATAAGTGAAAGTGACCTATACTTTTATTTTGTCTTATTTTTGTATTTTGGAATCAAGACCATGTAAGCTGTGAAGCTTTTGCTTTTTTCCATGTCTGGAAATATTTTTTGAAAATGTGTTAATTTTGTCCGTAAACTGATCTGGGAATGGGCATCATGGTACAGCAGGTTAATCCATTGCTTGGGATCCCCATATCCCATATCAGAGTACCTGGGATTGAATCCCACCTTCTACTTCTACTTCTAATCCAGCTTCCTGCTAATGGGCCTGGGAGGCCTGGAGCCCCTGTCACTCACATAGGAGACTAGGATGGAATTGCTGCTCCTAACTTCAGCCTGGTCCTGCCCCTATAGGCATTTGGGGAGTGAACCAGTGGATGGAAGATCTCTCTGTCTGTCATTCTGCCTTTCAAGAAAATACTAAACAAATCCATTTTAAAAATTGATCTGTATGTTTTTGAGGAATTGGTTTTGGCTTGGCCCAGCTCCAACTGTTGAGGCCATCTGGGGAGTGAATCAGTGGATGAAAGATCTCTCATACTGCCTCTCCCTCTCTCTCTGTAACTCTGGCTTTCAAATAAATAAATGCTTAAAAATAAATAAATAAATAAATGAAACATGATGCTTAAATATAATGCACATCTGCTTTATTTTGAATATAGATTTATAGTTACTTGGGAATATTAATAGGATTTATCATATCTTTAATATTTCTGCTTATTTTTTATCAACACAACACAATTATTTGAGTAGTATGCCTTAAATATTTCAATTACAATTGTTGATTTGTCTTTTTTTTGCAATCTTTGTAGTTTCTGCATGATATATTTTGAGTCTTTATTGCATACATATATATGTGGTATCTATATATATAACTATATAGGCAATATGTATCTATATCTGTATAACTACATTTAAGAAGTTTATGCCTAAGGATTTGTTTTTTTGACAGGCAGAGTTTGACAGAGAGAGAGAGACTCTCTTTTTCGTTGGTTCACCCCCCAAATGGCCAGTGCGCTGCGAGCCTGGAGCCAGGTGCCTCCTCCTGGTCTCACATGCAGATGCAGGGCCCAAGCACTTGGGCCATCCTCCACTGCACTCCCTGGCCACAGCAGAGAGCTGGCCTGGAAGAGGGGCAACCGGGACATAATCCGGCGCCCCGACCGGGACTAGAACCCGGGGTGCCGGCGCCGCAGGCAGAGGATTAGTCCAGTGAGCCGTGGCGCCGGCCAACCTAAGAATTTTTTTAAAGATTTATTTGAAAGGCAGAGTAACAGAGAGAGGGATAGACAAAGAGAGAGGTCTTCCATCCACTGGATGACTCCCCAAATGGCCGCAATGGCCAGAACTGGGACGATCTGAAGCCAGGAGCCAGGAGCCAGGAGCTTCTTCTGGGATGCCCAGGTGGATGCAGGGCCAAGCACTTGGACCATCTTCTGCTCCTTTCCCAGGCCATAGCAGAGAGCTAGATTGGAAGAGGAGCAGCCAGGACAGAAACTGGTGCCTATATGGGATGCTGGTTCCACAGGTGAGGCTTAACTTGTGCCGCAGCGCCACCCCACTCCTTTTTAAAATTTATTTATTTTTAATTTTATTTGAGAGAGAGACAGATATCTAGAGAGATCTTCCATCCACTGGTTCACTCCTCAAATGCCTACAGTAGCCCAGAAGATGGGTCAGGCTGAGGCCAGGAGCTCTGAATTCCATCTGGTCTCCCACATGGGTGGCAGGGACACAAGTGCTTGAGCCTTCACCTGCTGCCTGCCAGGATACACATTAGCAGGAAGCTAGACTTAGGAGCAGAGGCAGGAGTCAAACCCAGGCACTCTGATATGGGGTGTGGGTATCCAAGTGGTGTCTTAACTGCTGCTCCAAATGCCTGCCTCTTATTGCCTGTTTTAAAAATATTTTATTGGGGTTGGCATTTTGGCATAACAGATTAAGCTGCTGCCTGCAACACCAGCATCCCAGCTGGCTTGAGTCCCAGCTGCTCCACTTACAATCCAGCTCCCTATTAATGCTGCTGGAAAAGTAGCAGAAGATGGCCCCAGTCTTTGGCCCCTGCACCCACGTGGAAGATCAGGATAAAGCTCCTGCCTCCTGACTTCAGCCTGACCAGCCCTGTTTGTTGTGGCCATTTGGGGAGTGAATGAGAGAGTAGAAGATTCTCTCTCTCTCGGGGCTCAGCAGGTTAACGCCCTGGCCTGAAGCGCTGGCATCCCATGTGGGCACCAGTTTGAGGCCTGGCTGCTCCACTTCCCATCCAGCTCTCTGCTATGGCCTGAGAAGATAGTCTAGGTCCTTGGGCCCTTGTACCTGTGTGGGAGACCCAGAGGAAGCTCCTGGCTCTTGGCTCCTGACTTCAGATCAGCGTAGCTCCGGCCGTGGTGGCCATTTGGGGAGTGAATCAGTGAATGGAAGACCATTTTCACTATCTCCCTCTCTCTCTAACTCTACCTCTCAAATAAATAAATAATGTTTAAAATTTTTTTCTGGGCTCTCAGCTCTTTCCTTAGATGCCTCCCTGCTTTATTAGGTGTGCTGTCTTCCTTAAACTTTGCTGCTTTGCACACCACTACTCTCTGTCCTGCATCTAAATTCTTTCTTGCATGAAGAACCCTAAGCACCTGAACCCCGGTAACATATTTGGTGATTTTAAAGGGACACGAAGAGGACCAGTGGTAAGTTCTGAGCAAATTCATTCTGATGAATGCTCCTTCCAGCCTCTCTCCTGCCTTGTGTAGTGGCAACCGACGCCTATTTGACAATACTTCATGGAGACAGAGACTTGCCCAGTTTCTTTTAACCTAGCTATCTTGTCCTTTCCCTACTCTGTCTTTTTCAGCCAAGGTCTCTTTGCTGTAATCATGCAGGAAAAGGCAACTTATTCTCTCTTTCCAGCAGTCTACCTAGGCCCTCATGGCCCTCATCGCCTTGCCTGACCAGTCTGGGGCCAGTTTCTGAAGGCATACTGGGCTCTCAGTTCTTTCCTGAGATGCCTGCCTGGCCTATCAGTTGTACTCTCTTGTGTTTCTTCATGGAACTGAACTACCTTGCTTACCACTAAAAAATTAAAAATTCTTCTGGAGAGAGTTAAACAGAGCTGAGGCTATGCAGTAATACAGGCAAGACATGATGGGGCCTAGGCTTGAACTATAATGGTGATAGTAAAGAGGGAAAGAAGTTGACTGATTTAAAATTCATTTAAGTGGTCCTCATTATGATGCAGCCAGTTGGGTTGCTGCCACGGACACCTACATCCCATTTGAGCTGTGGTTCGAGTCCCAGTAACTCTGCTTCTGATCCAGCTTTCTGCTAAGGTGCCTTGGAAAGTGGAAGATGGCTCAAGTGCTTAGGCCCCTACCACCCATATGGGAGACCCAGATAGAGTTCCAGGTACCTGGCTTTGGCCTGGTCCAGCCCTGGCTGTTGCAGCCATTCGAGGGAGAGAGCTGGCAGATGGAAGATCTGTCTCTCTCTCTCTCTCTCTCTCTCTCTGTAATTCAGCGTTTCAAATAAATATTTTAAAATATTAAACAAAAACAATTTAAAAATACATTTCTTTTAGGACTAAATTCCTTAAGGCAGAGATTATGTCTTTTGTCCCTAGGATCCGGTACAAAGCCTTGCACCTCACAAGTACTCAGAGAATGTTAGTTTAATGGATGAATGGGCCACAGGAGTAACAGGGTTTTCAGGGACTACCCCTGGGTATAAGGACTCTGGGGACAGGTTCCGCATCCAGCTACCCAACTGTCCAGTTATTATTTTATCAGATTGTGGTAGCCATTCAATGTGTGCTTTGCATCAGCCAGGAACAGTGCTAATTATCTCTAATTCTCACAATATCCTTAACAGGTGGCTACTAATAGTGTCCTCATTTTACATTTAATCTTAAAAGATACATGACTTTGCCCAGGTTCTCCAACCAACAGTTGGGAGAGCCCGTGTCTGCTACAGGAATTGGCATTTTCGGGTCCCGTTCTAAGACTCTTAAAATTTTCAACCTGCCTGAGCTTTAGATTGGAGTAAGAATCCTTCCCAGGAACCTGGACAGAAATAAAGCACCCCTGTTCTGATCCCTGTATGTGGCGCTATTGTGGATGGGAATGGATGATGCTCCAGGTGCAAGAAAATGGTATCCCTCGCTGGGCCAGCTGCAGGGAATGAGGCACACTGCTTTCCACAACCAACTTATCCTGCAGCTTTCTGAGGAAGCCGCACCTTCCCTGAAATTTGGTTTCTTTCTCTACGAAACGGGGCTGGTAACACCGGTCTCAGTTGCAGGGTAGTTTTTAAGATTCAATGAGACTGTCAAGAGCTTTAAGTGTCTAGGCACAGTCCCCCAGCTCGTAGTAGGCACTCAAACAAGTCCTAGCCTGGAGTGGAGGCAGAGAGCTAACCGCACTACGCTAGTCACAACTGGAATCTGGGTGGGACCTAAGAGGACCGCGTCCGCGGATTGGGAGAGCCGGCGGGGGCGGGTCCGGAGGGAGGAGCCAACGGTATCCCGCCGCAACCCCGAGCTTTCCCTGAAGCGCGGTAGTTTCAGTTGTAGCCAATCGTGGAGCAGCATTTTTTTGCGTCAGTAGTTGCTGAGGTCCGGAGCCACGCGTCTCTCGCCGAGATCGGTTCTAGCCGTTGCTGCTGTACCCGCGCTCGGCTCTTGCGTGTCTTTCCGTTAGGACTGAGAGGACGGACAGAAAGTCGCAGTCACCTTGCTGAGTATCCAGGCCAGAACGAGACCGTCAGCTACTCGCTCCAAATATGTAGAACAGCACAGGCTTCTCTTTCTGTGGAAGCCACACGGGCGCCCTGTCAGGAGTTGTAGTACCAAGATTCTGGTTCTTCTTGCGCGACTTGAGAGAGAAGCAGGAAGTTGTTTTTATTTTTAGGGGCAGGCGGGCCAGGGAGGTCAGGTACTCCGCAGAGCCACTCGGCGGGGGCGGGGGCGGGGGTGTCCTTGCGAAAGAGAGGGGTAAGTCCTGGCCCTTTAAACCTAAGGGGGAGGGTCCGGAAGTGGATGGGCGGGGCGAGGGTCTAGCTATATAAGAGGGCCCGAGCCGCGCGGAGTCTCCAATCTGCCATTTTCTGTCCCTGGATAAGTGTCTGGCGTCCTAAATTTCCACTGTTTTCCTCACAGACTCTGTTCCTCTCAGTGGTCCACCTCCTCAGGGGAACGATGGCCACAGAGTCCACAACCACTGCCGCCATCGCCGCGGAGTTGGTTTCCGCCGACAAGTAAGCGGGACCGTGGAGAGCTTGAGGCACCGGCCACTCCGCGGGGAGGGCTGGTGGACTGGGGCTCCGTGGGAGGGACGCCGGTGTGTGGGAGGACTTGTCTTGCCGTAAGCCACTGTCGCTGTTCGGGGAGCCCGGGACAGTGGAGAAGCCCCCCCTCTTGCTGAGAGCCACGCGCGCTAGCGGTAACGGCGGGTGGCTGGCGCCCCCTGCCCGGTTTTTCGCGGCCGCCATCTTGCCGGGGGCAGCGGCGCTGTCTCCATTGCCTGCCCCTCTCCTTCCTCCCCTGGCCCAGGGCTGTCCGTGGAGAGGCGGGGCCCTGGCCTGCCCCGGCTGCCCTCGTGTCTCCACAGTCCAGCACTCCTGGCGTGCGCCTTCGGTGGAGCCCTCAGACAGCCCGGGAGTAGAGCCCACAGAGATTTGGCGCCAAAAAGGGGGAAAAAAAAAAAACGCCGCACGAGGGGTCGGGGGGGCGGGGCCCGCGGGGGGCGGGGTCTCGTGCGCGTGCATTCGCTGCCCTCCGCCGGCTGTGGAGCAGAGGGTGGGGCCTCGAGGAGGCGGGAAAACTCCATTGTTTGGGGCTGTGGCGGCGCGGGCGAGCGAGAGCTTTAGACTTCGGCGGTGGGGTTGCGTCCCTGCCGCCGCCTCCCCGCCGACCTCGGGGCGCTGTGGGGGGCGCTGCCCCGCCCCTCGGCGCTGCGCGAGCCCTGGGCTGTGGGAGGGAGCGCAGTGGTTCGGAGGAGTTCTCTGGAGACTCGGCTGCCTCTGGGGGTACTAACCGGCTCGCCTGGCGGCCTCAGCCCGAGCCGTGCCGAGCGCTCCTCACTCGGCAGCCGTGTTGGAACCCCAGCCGTTCACACAGCAGTAGAGGCACAGCGGATTGCTCCGAGAGCGGCGCAGTGCCACCCAGACAGAAACTGTTTATTGAACAGTGGAGGGAAGCCGACCCACTAGTTGCCAGAAACAAATGCTGTTTTCCCTATAATAGGTCTGATGTCCAGTGTTGCCTTTTTTTTTTTTTTTAAGGGGCCTGGTTCTGTCCCCTCCCTTGCACTTGAGTAGTTAGTTGCCTCCAGTGTGAAAGCCAAGGTTGCTGTGAAATAGTTGTGATTAATTTTCTATAGGCTCACACTTTAATAACGACTGGTTAGTGCGTTTCGTTGGTAGTTAGCAGAGGTTTATTTATCTCGACCCACTGCACCACCTGTTGGTTCACTTCCTAGTGAATTCAGTAATGGTTCTCCAACTCCCACGTCCCCTCCTTTGGTTCTGTAGGACTCGGATGGGAATAGGTTGGGCTGGGGTGTCCTTTTCTGTCTATCATTAAAAAGGGCTCCTTTTTATGGTGCTGCCTAGACAACTCCACTAGTCAGTATTCCATTTAGAGGGATCCTTGTCCTCTCTAGTAGTTAAAAAATGTGTGCTTTTCTTAAACCAAAGTATGCAGCAGATAGCTCTTGCAGCTTTTTCAGGTGTCATCTGTATTTAGGAAAGTTAGGTTACCAGTGAACGAGTCTTCAGCTTCCTTGGTAGGGGATACATAGAGAAAATTATGTGCTTCTGGAAAAAAGGCAAAAAATTGTTTCTTCATAAATTGCAGACTAAAGCTGAGAAATTGTATGTACTTTTTAATTTTTTGTTTAAGCCACCTGAGTATGCTGTGAAGTAGTTTTTTTTTATTTTTTAAAATCTGTTTGTTTTTAAATATTTATTTGAAAGTGAGAGTTACACAGAGGGGAGAGAGAGAGGTCTTCCTTCCACTGGTTCACTCCCCTGTTGGCCGCAACGGCCTGAGCTGCGCCGCTGGGAGCCAGGAGCTTCCTCTGGGTGCAGGGGCCCAAGGACTTGAGCCTTCCTCCACTGCTTTCCCAGGCCGTAGCAGAGAGCTGGATTGGGAGTGGAGCAGCCAGGTGTCCATATGGGATGCCTGCATTGCAGGCAGCGGCTCCACCTGCCATGCCACAGCGCCGGCCTGTGAAGTAGTCTTTCATTTCCTTTCTATAGATTAAAAAACTCAGAATAGAGACATAATAAGTGGCACATTCTGGGTTAAATCTCAGTACTACCTGGGAAAAAGTACATAACAACCCAGTTTGTCTGAGAACAGTGAAGGCTGCTCCCTGGTTGTTGTGGTCTCTTGGGGAGTGAACCAGCAGATGGAAGATCTGTTCTCCTCACACTTCTACTTTTCAAATAATTCTATTTATTTATTTGAAAGAGTTACACAGAGAGAAGGAGAGGCAGTGAGAGAGAGAGAGGTCTTCCATCCACTGGTTCACTCCCCCAGTTGGCCACGACGGCTGGAGCTGTGCCATCCAGAGCCAGAAGCTTTCTCCAGGTCTTCCCACACGGATGCAGGGGCCTAAGGACTTGAGCCTTCCTCCACTGCCTTCCCAGGCCATAGCAGAGAGCTGGACTGGAAGTGGAGCAACCAGGACTCTAACCAGCACCCATATGAGATGCTGGCATTGCAGGCAGCGGCCTTACCCACTACACCACAGTGCCGGCCCCTCAAATCTTTTTTTTAAAGAAGCCTTAGCTTTCTCCTTTTTCAAAGATTTATTTATTTGAAAGAAGTTACACAGAGAGGGGAGAGAGGGGTCTTCCATCTGATGGTTCACTCCCCAATTGGCTGCAACAGCCGAAACTGTGCTGATCCAGAGCCAGGAGCTTCTTCTGGGTCTCCCACATGGTTGCAGGGCCCAAGGACTTGGGCCATCTTCTGCTGCTTTCCCAGGCCATAGTAGAGAGCTGGATTGGAAGTGGAGCAGCTGGGTCTCGAACTGGCACCTATATGGGATGCCAGCACTGCAGGCTGCTGCGCCACAGTGCTGGCCCCTCAAATCTTAAAAAAAAAAAAAAAAAACACACACACACACACAAAACTGAAGCTTCTAAAGTTCTAATGTTTAAAAGAAGAGTAAAGGAAATCATTATGTCTCATGGTCCTATATATTGGACACCTTATAGAGACTTAAATTGAAGTGGTATCACTTAACGCTAACTTTGAAATATGTCATTGAAATATTCACAGAATTGAAAACTTGGCACTTAGTGGACTCTTATCTGGAGTGCCTGGTTATACTTCCAGTATAACCTTGAAAGAATAAAAATGGATATAGCTTTGAAACAAGTAGAGAGGAAAAGATAGAATGAGATACACCTCAGTTCAGAGTTGGCTTAATACCACTTCATTACTTAAGTGGGAATGTTGGACTACAGTTTCATCCTCTGTAAAAAGCCTCAGTTTGGCTTCTGTACATCTCTTACTAAAACAGCATTGTTAAATCAGTGATTGTCTAAGATTGGAGCAGAGACATAGAGATCTTCTGTCTGCCGATTTACTGCCAAACTGTCTGCTACAGCCAGGGCTGGACCTGGCCAAAGCTGGGGCCTCACACTCCATCCTGGTCTCATGTGGGTAGTAGGTACCCAAGTACTTGGGCCACATCTTACTTCTAGTATGCATTAGCAAGTAGGAAACTGGATCTAAAGTGCAGTAAGCTGGAACTTGAACCAGACGCTCTGATAGGATGCTGATGTCCCAAGCAAGCAGTTTAATCTGCTGTGTGACAACTCCAGCCCTACAATGTGTGTTTTGTTTTTTTTTTTTTTAAATTATTTGCAGAGATAAAGACACAGAAATCTTCTGTCTACTAGTTTTATTCTTCAAATGCTTACAATGGCCTGAACTGGGTCTGGCTGAAGCCTAAAGCTTGGAACTCAGTCCAAATTTTCTGAGCCAGCACCATTGCCTCCCAGGGTCTGCACCGGCAGAAAGCTGGAATCAAGAGCTGAGCTATGTTGAATTCGGGTGTAGGGATATGGGATGTAGGCATCTTGAGTAATGTCCCAACTGCTGGGTTAAATGCATGCTTCCCAGGTGGTATTTTGAGGTGGAGGGAGGAGGATAGGGCAGAAGATACATGAGAGGTAGACATTTGCTTAGTGGTTAAGTCTGTCCTTGGGACTCCAACATTTCATTTGGGAGTGCCTGGTTCAGGTCCCAGCTACTCAGCTTCTGATCCAGCTTCCTTCTAATAAACATCCTGGATGATGGTTCAGATATCTGTCCCTGCCATCCGTAGGGGAGACCGTGGGGATAGAAGATCTGCTGTGCTGATGCCTGTCCCCTGAAGTATTAATTTCTCACCTTAAAAACTGAGGATCGGTGCTGGCACTGTGGCACAGCGGGTTAAAGCCCTGGTCTACAGCGCCAGCATCCCTTATGGCTGCCGGTTCATATTTTGGCTGCTCCACTTCCGATCCCGCTCTCTGCTATGGCCTGGGAAAGCAGCAGAGGATGGCCCAAGTCCTTGGGCTCCTGCACCTGCTTGGAAGACCAGGAGGAGTTTCCTGGCTCCTGGCCTCGGAACAGCTCAGCTTTGGCCATAGCGGCCATTTGGGGAGTGAACCAGCAGATGGAAGCCCTCTCTGGCTCTGCCTTTCTCTGTGTAACTTTTAAATAAATAAGATAAAATTAAAAAAAAATACTGAGGATCACTTTAAAGATTCCACAAAAAGTTGTTAGAATAATGAACAAATTGAACATGACGAAACCAATTGTGTTTGTATGCACTGTCATCCTAAGTTAAACTGTATTCATTTAAATCTACAGTGAACCTCAGTTGGCAAAAGGTATCTGTTCAAAAGAATAGGTTGGAATTCTTTAATTTTTAAAAATTTTAATTGGTTTTTACCATTTAATGTGATTTGTAGATACAGTTCTAAGAACATAATATTTCTTTTCTCCTTTAATTTGTTTTATTTATTTTTTAACATTTATTTATTTGAAAGGCACAGTTAGATGGAGAGAGGGAGAGAGCGAGCCTCCATCTGCTGGTTCACTCCCCAAATGTCTGCCATGACCCTCACTGGGCCAGGCCAAAGCTAGAAGCGTGAGTACAGGGACCCAAGGACCTGGGCCATCCTTGGCTGCTTTCCCAGGCATACTATCGGGGAGCTGGATCTGAAGTGGAACAGCTGGGATGCAGGTTCCA